CCCAAACAGTGAACACAATAACTATAAGGGATTTGGATGGATTTTAATGGGGTTTTTTTCTTTTTCTTCTACCTTACGTTTATCCATTGTTTCATTGGTTCTCTGGTTGTTTAAGCTGTGTACTTTTCTAAGTAAAATCATTTTTTAATTAAAATGTTTAAAATAACAATTTAACCCCTAACCTAAATAAAATTATAAATTAATTTGAAAGCCTTGTTCTTAGTCTTTTCTCACCCAAACTGGAAACACTGCAGCCAGTTCTTTATTTGTTATGTGTACCGCGCTCCTGGCCCGTAATCTGATTTTATTATCTGAATTCTCAGAGTTTTATTTCAAGTTTAGTCCTTAAATCAGATGGAAAGAATGATTGTAGGTATTTTAATATTCATGTGGATATTGAAAATGACAGCCTTATATTTAAACATTTAATAGTCTTCCCCACATAATCCTCTCCTATCTGACCATTATTTAATAACTTCCTGAATTTCTATTATTGTATTATAAGCCATTTAGGCCAACTTTCCTACAGCAGATGTCTATCTGAGGGTGCTGTAACTAAATTAAGGAGGAGATTCCATCAGTGTTAATTCAATCCATTGTCTGGGAATATAACAGAGTCCTATAACAACTTCCTACCGAAATTGATAATCTTTGATAGTGCTACAGGCTCACTACGATCAACTTAGACTCTATCGCTCCTATAAAAAGGAATTATTAAAAACATAGGGAACAAACTAGCACACGTGGTACAACCACCAAAAACTCGCCAATTAAAGCAAAAAACAAAGAAAATCGGAAAGGGAATGGCTTTCGAAATTTTAGAATATCGCTCAATTTGGGCAAGATAATCTTAAAACCTATAGAAAGGCCCTCCCTTAATGCCAGAGGAGCCTATTACTCCAGCACTAATAGAAAAAATAAGAACAACCCTAGTTCCTCTTCAGGCACTGTAGCCAGGCTGACAGAGAGTCACAGCTCTATTGAGCCATGTATCCCCATAAATTTAAGTAGCAATGGACTTTAATGAAACTTCTTTATAATAAATTATTACTATAAGGGAGAAAATTTAGTCACCAAATGCCCTCAACAGCTATCACCCTGCTCTCAAGAACTTTAAATAATGTAAACACAGATATATATTTAGAATGTTTTTTTGCTATCAATCAGATTAACTTCAATAATTTCTAAACGAAGCCATCAACCTGTCTGTTTAGATCCAATTTCCCAACTAGGCTGCTTAAAGAAGTTGTTACCCTAATTGGCCTTCTTTACTAGATATGATTAATCTTTCTTTATTAACAGGATATGTACCACAGTCCTTTAAAGTAGCATGTAATTAAACCCCTTCTTTAAAAGCCCACTCTCGACCCAGAGGTTTTAAGCCACTATAGGACCGATTCTAACCTCCCTTTTCCTCTCTAAGATTCTAGAAAAAAATGTCGCCAAAACCAGTTGTGTGACTTTTTACATAGCAATAAGTTATATATGAGGATTTTCAGGATTTAGAGTTCATCACAGCACAGAGACAGCTCTGGTTAAAGTTAATAATGACCTGGGTCTCATTTATAACCGTGCATAGCACAAAACGGACTGAAGTGGCGTACGTGACTTTCTACGCCAATGTTGTGCATCTATAAAAAACAAACTTGACGGTGAGAATGTGCGCAGCCCTAGCAAACTCTGAACCCAGCGTACGCATGGTTTGGAGGAAAAGGAGAATTGGCAACACAGACGGTGTGGTGTGTGAACTGAAGTCAGGACTGAAGAAATGTAGAGTGAGAAGAACGATAATGTTTTATCATCGCCCTTCATAACGTTTAATTTCAACCCGTATCATGCGTTAAATCTATGTAATCAGAATGATTTAAGTCAGCTGGCGTTATTTCTCAGTTTTACTCCAGAAAACATCTCCTTTAGAATCGAAATGAAAATTCAAAATCAAAATTCTCTATATTTAATCCCGTCACTCATACTGTCCACTGCGCAGGAGGAGGAGAGGGACGGCGCGAACTGCATGGAAATAAAGCATCTGTCAACATGTGTCAATAACATAATATTTATATGACACTGAAAACACATAATCAATGTCAATTAAATCCCAGTGTGGAAACCAAGCCACAAACTCCTCAGCACAATCTTATATATATTGTCCTTCCTCTGATGCTTTTCATGACAATCAGGCATTAAAAAAGGGTTATGTTCAAGAACATTTTCGTGTCAGACCACTTCTTTTTTTAATTCTGGGACTGTGCGCTCCGTGCCACTGACAGAGTTCACTGCTGCAGCAACATGTTGCCACTCACTTCTGCTTTTTCTTCTTAGTATCCAGTTCCCGGACCGCGAACATCTCT